TCAACAATCGTGTCTACGACCACTAGATCACTGAGGTAACCATAGAATACTATAATACACAATAGAATGGCTGTCAACCTTATTTTGTACGAGATTTGGCGTCGCCGGGAGTACACAAACAAGCAATTACGTCGTATTATCAGTTAATCACTACTACAAATCCGATTCGCTATATTGACAGACGGATTTTAATACATATTTATTTATAAATAGCGTGCAATTTGGCATTTTCTGCATAATTTGCATGCGAAATTTGGAAACGTATGTAACGTCAAAACACATCTCGTGTTGACACTTATACGTGTGAATTGACGTGTTAGTGGCATTTTAGTGGCTACACAGGCTCCGCCCACTAACCCGTTCTATTATGTACCTATGTATTATAGTATTCTATGGAGGTAACACTGAAGGGTATAGAGAGCCAGCATAATGACACCGTGTAGCGGCGATGTAAGAACACCCACTACCTCACTTCGTCCCGTGGGTGTCCCGAAGGAAATTAAAACAGGAGATGGGCAGCGGCATCTTTCTGATAACAGCTGAATAAAAAAACTGCGGTTGCCAAACCGCCTGCCAGGCGTGGCAACTATGGTAAAACCCCGCCTATGAGGCAAACTATGGGGAAAGCCTATGTCCAGCAGTGGCCTCATGATAGCATGTAGAAAAGATAGGTAGTACTTCCAGTTTGCTCCTGGGGACATAGGGTCTGGAACCTTCCTTGTTACAAGTTAGTTGCAGGCATCCATGAAGTGCAGAGTCACTTAGCATCAGACGGACTGAAAACTATTTCGTCATTTAGTTTTATAAAAAAAACATCAATTTAAATTATTCATAGGGATATTTAATTTTAAGTGTGTATTTACATCCATTATATTTTAGTATAACCTACGAAACTTTTGAATAGGTAATGACAGGATCATTATTCGTGAGATATTTCCGCGTACGAATTATAATCCAGTGTTGTTATTGATGGTAGAATTACCAGCTCCAAGAGCACGTGAAATTACCTGCTATTATTTTGTTTAATTGTTAAGTTGGCAATTATATACACGTATACATATTCATCACGTCTGTTATCCCCGAGGGTAGACAGAGATCAAAGAGCAGATGGAAAATTGTGAAAGAGAATATAGGTGGCTTATACTTATCGCAATCACAACTGCAATATCTCTCAGTCACCTTTCACTACATAATGTTTACTTTTCACTTTCACTTTTTTTACGCACTTTTTTGTTATAACTCCTATACAAAGATGGGTGGTTTCAAACTTTGTAGGCACAATTGATGAAAACATCGGTAAATACGAGATGAAATATTTGCATTTATGGTATGTCACTGAGCTGAGTAGTGGCGGTGTTATAGAATCACCCCACTCCAGACAGTGGGTGTCATAGGATGTGGAAATATAACGGACAGTAATAAACTGTGAAATGTGTGTTTTGAACATTCAAACATAAATATAACCGGAACGAAAGGATTTCTGTAATATTATTAAAAGTATTGGATTATTTTATAGTAATAATAATAATAATGTCCTCCCGACCTAATTTTGGCCACGGCGGCCTGCCTCAACGGAGGCTAGTCATCGGCGCAGGACAAGATTATAGTGCCCAAGTGTATGCGCAAGCACAGGTGCACTCTCTCTTCCCTCACTCTCATAATCCGATGGGACGGTAAACCGACACGACCGGAGAGAGATTAGGCGCAGGACCAACGGCTTTACGTGCTTTCCGAGGCACGGGGGTGAGACACCGCCAACTTCCTGACTCCGAGCAACTACTGAGAATTTCTTGACAGAAAAACTCAATAATTAATTTTTTGGCCGGAACCAGGACCTCATGATCAGCAGTTGCACTACTACAACCACTAGACCAACGAGGCAGTCTATATTTTATAGTATAAGGGTGACAAACGAGCACACAGTCACACAGTAAATGGATGTTGTAGTACATAACCATCTACATCTGTCTTTGATTAAGAAATGCAGGTGCGTTGTTATCCCTGAGGACTAAGATCGAATACCTTATTTCCAATAAAAAGGGTCTCCGGTTCTCTACTCTCACCATACGACACACAAAAACATTAACCTGTTATTTTACGCTGGTATTCAGTAAGAGCATGGTCCTTCGCCAGTCAAACCGACCCATTAATGCTACCACCATAACAGAGCTGCAGCGTGGCTTTACCACGTATAAAATCATAGAAAAAAAAATCCGCAGTAGTACCAGACTGATACGAAGAAACCCCCAATAAAATTATAAAAATTACGGTAGTCAACCTGTTCGCCGAGCGTGGCACCTATAAATCTACTTTCTCCTATGAGGCTATAGAATACAATCAATTTGATTCAATATAGATTACATGTAATTTTACTCTTACCACTGGCTCGAAAAAACATCTCCTGGGATGAACCAGCACGAAATCCAGGGGGAAAATCCCCCTGGTTAAACAGAAAGTTGAAGTTAAATAAAATCAATTTACAATATATTGTTTTATAAAGCTAGTATGAACACATTAGAAACAGCACGGTGCCGATCACCTCATTCCCAGGGGTTATTTAGTATCAATCATGTACTATTTAGTAGTATAATAACCCTTTCTAAACAATTATTGATTAATAAATATTTTAAACCTTATGATAGATAAGGCCTGAATTTTTTCTGTGACTTTCCGACGTGACGTCACAAGGAATTACTGACTCTTTGGACCACTTTTGACTAACTTAACTGGTATAGCTAACTTTGTACTTGTTCTTAGTATTTAAACAACAATATATGGAGAATTTATGAAAGATTTGATGGCTGTAACGAATGTAAATAAGAAAATTACGCCATCGATTGCATATCCCAGTATATTAAATTAGTTCAATATATAAATATTTAGTGCCATAGTAGTAACTTGTCCCTACACGCACAGCTAGGATAGCTGGGCACAGCTCTTCTCTTTTACGGTTTAAGACATTTATATTTCAAAAAGAATAAAATTCACTTATCATGAGAAACCACTACTCTTTTGCTTTTTTAAACATAAAAATAAACGTGGATTAGGTATTTAATTGTAGTTACAACCTATAATACGTTCCACTGTTGGGCACAAGCCTCCTCACATTTCTGAGAGGGTTTTTAGGGCAAGGAAATGTTCGTCGCGCTGCCCCAACGCGTGTTGGCGATCTTCACACGTCTTCGAAATATGTTTTTGTACTATATCTCAGACATGCAGGTTTCCTCACGATGTTTTCCTTCACCGCCGAACACATGGTAAATCAGCACTTAAAATTACAGTTAACAATTTTATTAGCGTCGGCGGGAATCGAATCAGGGTTGCCTGCGTACTGTGAAATTAACAGGTGAACGCTTAGCCCCTGACCTACCACGGCTCAATGTGTACATTTATTAATAAACGTAATTATTGTACAAGACCGTAGAAACAAAGGTATTTAGCGCGACACCAAATCCTTACAACAATCAGTACCTTGCAAATGAAATCATCTCGCGATTCCTTACATTCCGACCTCATCGACTGAGAATTAGTAATAATAAATAATGTCCTCCACACTAGATTTCGATCACGGTGGCCAGTCTCAACGAGTCTAGCCATATTTCTCAGGACAAGATTATAGTTCCCGAGTATATGCGCAAACACAAGCACAGGTGCTCTCTCTATTTCCTCACTCTCATAGTCTGATGGGACGGTAAAGTGACACGACCGGGGAGAGATCAAGCGCAGGAGCAACCGCTTTACGTGCTTTCCTGACTCCCGGCTGCAACAACTGTTTTGGCTTGACCCGGGATTCTAACCATGGACGGGATATGATGGTCCGGGATATGATGATAATTGCGTTTACGACCATTATTATACCAACGAGAGTATCTGTTGAGAATACTGGAGAATAAAGTGCGGGTTTATATTTGTAATAAAAATATTGCGAGAAATAACATTGTATATGAAATTTCATTATTACGGAGTTTGCTATTGATTAATGGCATTAAAACGTTAACTGAAAAAAGAATAATTGCGTTAACGAGTAATCAATCTAACGTAACGCAAAAGTTGGTATTTAGTGCATGAATAATTATTAAAAAGTTAATTGGAATGTTTTGTAATGAGAGATTCCATGTTAGTCCTCAGGGGTGACAACGTCTATGCATTTTAATTCTTGTAGATCACAGTGATATCAGCATGTAGTCTGATTGCTTGTTCATCACCCTGACTTCTATAAAAATACAATAAGCCACGTTATCCATACCTTATAGACACAGTCAACTGTGATTTTAGAGGGTTTTGCAATAGGGCAAAAAATTGCAAGGTCTAAAACTAATAGATAACTTTTAAAATTCTATAACAGTTCCGATTTCCTAGACATACATGGTTGTAACGTAAATTAATCCGTTGCCCTATTTCGTTCACAGAGTATAATTGTCTTATTATAAGATTATGGGCAATTCCAAGAAAATCCAAAAGATAGTGGTACAAACATTTCCTTTGCGCCAGATAAAAATATCGACTAGCGCCAAGCAACAGCATCATAGATTGTTACAGCGATCATCTTACCGCTTGCCAAGCGTGACGATGTAGGCAAACCCACCCAGCAACGATAAGCCTCTACCCTGCAATAGATTCGACTGATGAATACATAGGCCGCTCACAAGGTGGAAAAGGTAAACCAAACAAAATACAATTTAAGACGCTGCAGCTATATTATAGTTTTAGAACGAATTAGTCGGCTGGACCGGGGAATGACAACGCTCTCACAGAACACCAGTATAAAATAGAAGCTTAATAGTGCTGTGTTTCGTATGGTGAGAGTAGAGATCCGGAGACCCTTTTTACTGGAAACGAGGCATTCCATCTTAGTCCTCAGGGGTGACAATGCATCTGCATTTTTATTCTTAATCGAGTATAAACGTAAATGTCTATGGGTCACAGCATCCACTTACCATCAGGTGAACTGTGAGCTCGTTTGTCAGCCTTATTCTATTGAAAAAGAAATACAAACTCACCGAGTTGTAGAATTCCCATGATTAACTCAACACAGCCGGAGAGAAAGGCCAACAGGACTGCGAACTCCGGCCCCAATCCGTGAAGGTTCTCTCGCGTCAAGATGGCAGCGATGGCAGTGGGGCCAATCGCAGAGTCCTTCACGGAGCCGAACACGGTGTACACGAAGCACGCCATAAACGAGGAGTAGAGGCCATATTGTGGTGGTAGACCTGCTACCCCGGCGTATGCTATAGCTTGTGGTATGACTGTGAGACCCACTGTTACACCTGGGAACAATAAATTTTCATAGTAAGGCACAAATATAAATACAAATAATAATAATAATACCAATTCACAGAATACCAACGTAAGATTACAGTGAGTGCTGCAGTTTCGTATGGTAAGTATAGAGAATCGGAGACCCTTTTTACTGGAAACAAGGCATTCCATGTTAGTCCTCAGGGGTGACAACGCACCTGTATTGTTTCGTAATCGACGATAGATGTAGATGTCTATCTACAGCATCCACTACAAGTGGATGCTGTGGCCTCGATTGGCTTCCTTATTCCATACAAGAAAAAGAAATATATTTTCGAATCAATATAAATTATCAATGATAACCGATGGGGAAGAAAGATTTTCAAGTGGCAACCTCACACCGGTAAGCGATGTGTAGGGCTGCCACCCATTAGATGGAGTGACGACCAGGTTAAATATGCAGGAAGTGGATGGACGCAGGTGGTATAGGGCCGTGCTTTGCGGCGTTCCTTGAGGAGGCCTATGTATACCTGTGGACTTGTGAAGGGCTGTAATCACGATGTTAAATTATAAATACTATCACTTTTCTTGGCGGTAAGACACTTTTCTGGTTAGGAGTTCCACTGGGTAGGTATGAGGTTGCCACTCGCGCTATAATATAGATATAGTATCGTACCATGTTTCTGTCAATTGTACTATATATTATAGAAAAATTATATAGTACGAAAAATTTTATGTTTTTATCCCTAATTTCACAGTGACTTTGTTATACAGAAAGAACATTTTCCATGAGAGAAGAGAGAGAGAGAAAAAGAGCGTGTATTAATTCAATTAATAGTATTTATTGATAGATCAATTTCATAATATGTCAACTTAAAATAAAAAAAATGTAAAATATCGGTGCCATAGGCTTCATCCGTTACACATTATTTTTTCCATATGGTAAAAAAAATATTTAGTATAGTTAGAAGTTGCCAACACTATAATATAATATAGTAAAAAAATAAACCTTCATCGCAGCAAATTATTCATTTACTACTTATCCTATCTCGAAGTAGTGCCGGTGTAAAAGAATTCATTTATGGGTATACTCCCGCCGCGAGTGTCCTTTGACAAGACTGAGTGATTTGAAACAGAACATGGGCCTCTTCTATGTGGCAACCGATACGACTTTTGATAAGCTAAAATGAAAGAACTATATATTTTATATATTGTAATGGTACCTATATTTTTTCCTTCACTAGCACACGCACTATAGCATCCAGTTACCATCTGGTGGACAGTGTGCTCGTTTGCCTTAACTGGCAAGTTGCAAGTGGGACGGCAACCGCATTTTTTTAATCAGCTGTAATCAGAAAGATGCTGCTCCTAATCTTCTGCTTCAGTTTCCCTCTGTAGCTTCCTGCAGCACGCAAGGTATGTGGGCACCTAATGGATATTCTTACACCGTTAACACATGGTGCACAGTCATACGGTAACTAGTATTGCTTAAAATCGGTCTTGGTCTTGCAGTCTTGGTCTTGTTCTTGCATTTTTGCAAGACCAATACCAAGACTGGGAGCGCAATATCAAGACCAAAATTAGGTGTATTGGCGTAGGACCAAGACTAAGACTGGCTAAATCTCGTCTTGTTCTTGCGTTTGGGCAACACTGACGGCAGCATTTCAGTTTATAGTTATTAAAACAGTTCTAATGTTGTATGTATTATCGGACGATGAATAGACCTTGTAGGATGTCAATAACCAGTTGTAACAGACGCGCACCGCGATGGTAGCGGTACTGCAGCGCGACCGGAAGTCACAAAATTGCAGCGTAATGTTTACAAGGCTAAACGTTTAACGATGTCTGAACTAACAGTTCCTACGTAATAAATATCCGTGACCATGGGTGCTGTAAAGAACTTGAAACGACGGTAATTGCACGAATGGATGGCTGCACCACGCTCACGCAGAATTACAGCGTAAAATAGCTGTCTAATTTTTGCTGCAGAACGGAAAACCCTCGTTACTAGAAGCAAGGTATTCTAAGTCCTCGAGAGTGACAACGTATCTGCATTTTGATTCTTAATCGAGAATAAGTGTAGATGTCTATGGACCACAGCATCTATTTACCATCAGGTGGGCTGTGTGCTCGTTTATCATCTTTATTCTATAAAAAAAACGAAAAATCCTGCCGCCGATCTCCCGATTTAGTTTTTTTCTGTTACCTCTTATGGGGTATTGAATATTACACACCTACTACACGCTTAAAGTGTACGCAACAATATAGCAATGAGTTATAATAAATTAAATTTAAGAGTTATAATATAATATTCTCAGACATGCTGTTTTATTTTATCACTAAACACTTAAAATTACATTGCCATCGGAATCAAACCCGGGTTCCTCAGGTGCTAGCTACCACTACCACTCGAGCGTTTAGCCTTTGAACTGCCGCGGTTTAGAAAGTCAAAGCCTAAGTGCGTAGCTTCAATAGAATGAAATATAATAATTTATTTATTCGATATAGATTACAATGTAATTCCTAGTGAAAGTCATTTAATACCTTTACCAACAAAAAAAAAGTCTTACTGCATTTTTTGCTGGTTCTTCCCAGGACAGACGTTTTTACCGAACCAGTGGTAAAAGTAAATAATCGACTTCTAATAAGAATTATATGTAATCTAAAGAATATTATAAAACTCATTTGGCAAAAACATGCTGCGCCGGCCTTATGTTTCGTGCTTGTCCATATTTTCTCAAATTTTATTTAATCTTCTCTCTCATCTACACCTATCCATCTATTCATCACAGGCTATAAAAGTTAACTGCTGAAAATAGACTTCCCCACAGATTGTCTCATAGGTGTAATCTTGCCACAGTTGCCACGTCTGGCAAGCGAGTTGGTAACCGCAGTATTTCATTATTTGGAGTTGTTACCAGGCAGATGTTTCAATTTTTAATGCAATAAATAAATGAATGTTATCAAATTGAGGTTTGTTAATGTGTAGTGTAAGGATATCCACTACCCCACGTTCCTTGGATACCATAAGACAACCCAGGAGATAGGCAGCTGCGTATTTCTAATAGCTACTAAAATAAAAAACTGCGGATGCTCATCGTCTGCCAAGCGTGGCTGCTGGGCAACGGTGGGACTATGTTCAGCTGTGGACGTCCAATAGGACTGTAACGGTAGCCGTGTCCGTCGGACAGAAGTTACCCCCCTACACTTTACGCCTTCACAATATTGCTATTTGTTTTAAGCATTACAACGTGAAATCCGACACGGCGGGAATCGCTTGCGAAACCCCGCACCAAAGTTAACATCTGCGCCAATAATGCAGTTGAAAAATACCAATTTCACGCCTCGATAGCGACGCTCTTTTGAAATAGAAAACGCGATTTTTTGAACAAGGACATAGAGACTACAGTCCTTTGTCTTTTGATAGGTAACGTTGATGCAACACGCGAAATAACGCAAAATTATAGCGGGGAAAACTATATCGAGTCAATGAACTTTGGTTTTATTTTGTACTCTGTACAGAATACTAGCAAAAAGTTAATGACATGCTACCTTTTAGAATGACCTTTATGAATGAATTTTAACTTTTTTAAATCCCGAGGTTACGGGTACTTTCCAGCGCTCATGGTTACGAGGGTTACGAGGGGATCTGAGTTGTTTAACGTCCCGATGTTAGAGGTAACGAAGGTTATCTTCCACTTTTAAATATAAATTTTTGGTCTGATATACGCAAAACGAGATTACAGTGTCGTGAAGTCTGGCAGTAGTATGCTTTGGTTTGGATTTAATTTATTAATTATGAGCTCCCACGCAGATAGCAGCACCTAGCCATCTTCTTTATTTAAATTAAGAAAAATTCTTAATTTCAATATCCTCGCGAATCATCGTTGAGAAGGAGAGTAACTATTTTTTTCAGAGAGCACAAGGGATCTGTGATCTGTGACCTGCCCGCCGCGAGCTCCAGCACGTTAAGCAAGTTATGCACGAAAACAAGCTGCAGGTCCCACACCTACGTCACAGTGACGGAGTGAAACCGGACAAAATCGAGCGTGTGCCTGCTGTATTGCCTTATGTTAGAGGAATCACTGACAAAATTGGTTACATCTTGAAACGGGCTTCCATAAGAACATACTACAAGCCGCCGAAGATGATTAGTAAGTTATTAGCATCCGTCAAATGTAATATTCTTCTACAAGATGCAGGAGTGTTGTGAGCTTGCTTGTGAATGTAGTCTCTCCTACATAGGACAAACAAAAAGATGCGTAAAAACCCGCGTAAGAGAACTTTGGAATATAGTTGACGTGAAGCATCGACGCTCCGGGAAGTCCGTAAATATATTCAAGATCGTCTCCACCATTATATCAGATTCGATAGACCACAAATCCTCAAAAAAGAACACCGATTTCTACCAAGGATGATTCGCGAGGCTATTGAAATTAAAAAAAAACATTATGATTTCAATAGAGAGGATGGATGGGTGCTGCCATCTGCTTGGGATCCTATAGTTAATAAAATTAAATCCAAACCTAAGCATACTACTGCAAGACTTAAAGACACTCTAAGCTCGTTTTACGTAGGTCGGACCAAAAATTAATATTTAAAAGTTGAAGGTAGCCTTCGTTAACTATGACATCGGGACGTCAGTCACCTCTATTCTCCCGTGACCATGGATGTACCCGAAACGTCAGGAATTAAAAACAATTTAAATTAAGTGCGAAAGGATATGTAAAATTAGTTTTGTTCCACGTCACACGAAGTTGGCCTCACTGAAAAACAGCACTCTGCCGAGCTAGCACGGGCGGGGGACAATATATCCCCTGGGAGAGGATATACTTAATTTTTATCCCTTGCTTAATTTTATCCACCCTGCGAGCATGGGCAAGAGACAAAAATTATATCCCCCGATTATCCACTGACAAGAGATAAAATTGTCTTATCTCTATAGTATATCCCCGTTTGACATAACGAGTAGACATATATCTCCCCGTACGTAGCATGAGGCCAAGGGAAAGAGAAAAAATTATCCCTTTTTGACATTTGAAAGGGACAATTTTATCCTATTTTGCGGACGTGGGTTTAAGTTTATCTTCAAACCATTTTAATACAAAAAGATGTCACGAGATTATAGCAACTATATTTTCGTGTCAGAAATTGAAAAACAAGAAAGAAAATTACACCAGCGATCGATACGTGATCAGAATACTTAATCTATTGGAATTCTCCGACAACGAATTTCTACGCCGGTTTCGGATGTTCAAAGATTGTTTTGTATTTGTGTAAAGAACTCTATGAGGCTTTAAAGTTAATATACAATATAGCTGCAGCGTGGTTTTACCACGTTTTAATTTTTTTCATCTTGACTCCATACTAGGGTTAACTGGTATGGAGTCAAGTGGGGGCAGATTACATAAACAAATTTCGCAGGGACAAACATCCATCCATCTGCAGGCCAATCAATTACTTGTTCCGTGTGGGATTCGAACCCGCGGCCCTTAGCACTGCAACTCATTACTAAGTCACTGCGCAAAGGACCCGTCAGAATAAAAATCTAATCACTTCATTGATAAAATTGTCCCTCCAGGATTATTAAAACGCATTGCTTTACCTGCTATAAAGTCGGAGAGTCCGTTTCTCAGCGTGTACTTCGGCAGCCAACTGAGGATGGGCAGGCGTCGTAGCCAGGTCTTGGCAGAGCAGCATGACCGCGCCCTTCGTGCCAAGTTCGCTCGCCAACTTCGTGAATTTTTGTCAGGATATGATGAGGGGTAAGCGCCATTGCCATCTGTGAAGAAAGTACAGCTGTGTAAAGATAGAAGTAATAAGAAAAAATCAATTGCGTCCTTATGCATTTAAGTCCAAAAATAAACTTGTAATAACTTTTTAATCCACCTAAAAGCTTAACTTTAATAAAATTATAATTTTGCGGTAAAAAACATTCTTTTTTAATTTTCTAACATTGTCATTCGATTCTGACCTACGGTCAACATAATGATTTCTTAAATTTACGCGAACACTACACATTGAATAAAACTATTATTTACGGATTTTATCGTGTTTAATTACTACCTACTTTAACTTATTTTTATTATCCCGACGTTGGCTGCTTTACAGCACTCATGGTCACGGGGGGAATTGAGATGTTTGACGTCCCAATGTCATAGTTCGGCTACCTTCAGTTGTTGAATATTAATTTTTGGTCCAATTTACGCAAAACGAGCTTATATTATCACGAAATCTTGCAGTGGTATGCATGGGTTTGGGTTTAATTTGGTTAATTAAAGATAATAGTAAATAATAATAATAATAATATATTTATTTGCTTAAAACATGGTATGAAAAAGATTTTACAATTAAACGAAAACGAGTTAATATATACTTGGTCATAAGGCCGACATTTTGATATAGTATATAGAAATATAAAGCAAGTAGTCGGGGTGAATGTGATATTATTTAATTCTTTTTAGTTCTTTGAATTTTACTTTTATCTTTGACAAGGTGTTCCCTGCAAATTCATTACGATTGGATTTCATGGGTTTTAACTTTTTGCGCGGAGCCGCTAATATTTTTCTAAAATATAAGTAGACTAAGTCTCTTTATAACATCTGCTATCGGCCAGTGAAGTAAGCGTCTTCAGAGATCAGCCAGAATAAAGAGACAGACAGACAAAACATTATTAGTTATTTTTTTGTTATAAGTATCGTATATATACTTTCATATGCGTTTAGTAAAAAGCAGTCCTTTTGATATTACAAATAGACCTTAATTTTATATTTTATTTATCCTATACATAGATAAAAGTTTAATATTTTCATCGCTTTTTGTGAAATAAAGAATATCACTTAAGATTAGGTTTACACAAATGTGATATCTAAATAGTTACCAGTACATTAAAATCTTTATACTCTATTTTGTCATACGTAGGGTACGTGAGTACATATTACTTCAATGCACGTAGGCGATGCTGAAGTATAACCTATTTAACATAAAAAAGGTTGTATTAAAATCGGTTCATAATTGACGGAAATATCTCGTTACACTCAAAGCGTTACATACATACAAAAAACATTTTATGTGACCCTCTTGTTTTTTTGCCGTCGCGTCGGCTAAAATAAGCTTTTGTGTGTATTGTGCCCATTAACCGAATATAATAAACCCGTCATTGTGCCTGAATTTATGCTTACATGAAATGACACAGATCGCCGCTAAAATGATGAGGGACATTGTGTCATTTAAACGTAATTATGACTTATTTACTAATATTGTTATACTCGATGAGAAAATTGTCCAATTACCCTTCATTCGCCGTTATAACTCATGGCCTAGCTAAGTGAAAGCACTTACAGTAGGCACTTCAGGGGTTTTGTTTTATTTAATCACGCAAACTACGTTTTATTTGGTTTAGCCACTTATTAACATCATCGTCATTATCACAGTCCTCCATAAACTCACAACTGAACACGCGCCTCCCAAAGGAAACACCACAAAATACGACTACGACTCTGACCACATGCATTCATCGATTTCCTGTACGTATATATGTCTTAACAGGTTGTCACTCCATTTAGTGCGTCTCTGTAGAACCTTTCTGCCCAATCAATTACCGTAAACGTGTAGTGGCGGTTTAAGAGTATCCACTACCCCATATCGTCACGAGGGTGTCGTAAGAGTCGACAGGAGAAAAAAAAACGGGAGATGAACAGCAGCATACCTTAAAATAATAAAAAACTGCGGCAAAATCCCTTCATGAAGTATGAGGGAAACTTATGTTCAATAGTAAACTTTTATAGGTTGTGATGGAATTGTCGTTTCATCCGGCTATATGTATGGCACTCAGTAAATGTTTCATTAATTAATTAAAAATTTGAACCATACATCTTTCCCATGGACTGAACATGGGTCAAATGATGTAAGTAACAATACAAGCCAATTGGACCCCAATTCCTACAAGAGACCTAGGCTAATTGGATACAAAACCATGATATAGTATGATCGGCGACATAATACATCGATTTTACTTTTCATTGCATCCCCACGAAGTCCACCGCCGAACATAGACCTCTCTAAAGGTTAGGTCTCTTGGCAAACAGGTTGTAACGGCCCGTCTCTTCGTTTGATATAGGGTAGCGGATATTCTGACCCCGCCACTACTCGTGTTCTCCAGACCGAATTTCGACCTCGGTGGCCAGTGCCAACGGAGACTAGCCATACGCGCAGGATAGGATTATGCAGCAGCAGTGCGTGAGTGTATGCGGAAGCACAGTTGCACTATTCCCTCACTTTCATAGTCCGATGGGACGTTCGTCCGGCGCGATCGGAGAGATATCGGACGCAAGACCAACGGCTTTACGTGCCTTCCGGGGCACGATGGTGAAATACCGCCAACTTTCTGACTGCGGGCTGTTACTGTTAATTTTTTGATTAAAAAAAAACCCAATAGCTGATTTTAACCTGACACGGGATTTGAATCGTGAACCTCATGAACAACAACCGCGCAATCGAGGCAGTCAACGGTCATTATACGGGTAGGCTACTAAATACACAATTGAATATAAAGCTTTAGCACTATAACTAATAAAAATAAATTTACAATTATCAAATTGATGCTATATCTTAGGGGCTGTCCATTAATCACGTGAGGTTCATAAGGGGAAGGGGGAGGGGGGAGGGTAAAAATCACGAAATATATCACAAGGGAGAGGGGGGGGGGTGTAGCAAGAATATCACGTGTATTTATTTTTCGTCCAATGCGCGTTTTATAAACCGAAAAACGATGTGTAGTGTAACCTTGGCTCGCCTGTACATGTAGATTCATGTCACAAGCTTGAACCTGATCCGAGCAACAATAGTGTAGAGATGCACAATGTTTGTCCTTCACGCATCCTCACGCGACGATCGATCGGGATCGCGACCTCATCGCGAGACTGTCTGTGTAGTGCGTGAAAATGATGACGCCGAGTGGCTTGATGAAACCGACGCTGATCTTCAACAATGCACAGTGTGACAACTGACTCGCAAGATGCTTATCCAGTTGTTGTTGTTGTGTTGAAGAAAGTCTTGCTAATCCCTGGTTCAAGGACAATGTACAATAAATATGTTCATCTAGTACAATATATGTTTCGCATAATTACACTATTCATTTAATATTATTTTTATGCCAGTCAAAAACAACCTGCAACCTTTCTGTCTAGACATTTTATCATGGTCCTTAATTTCAGAATAAAACTAGATTATACTTTAAACATGTAATTTACACATAATGTTCTAAAAATTTTAAGATTCTTTGTAGGTACTAAAAAATACACCTGATTTTGGATGGGGGAGGGGGTGGGGGTTTGTCTTAAACTTCACCAAGCATCACCTAGAGGGGGGGCGGTTAAAATAACATCACGTGATTGATGGACGGCCCCTCATGCTATAGCTTTCTTTTAATGATTTACAATTGGTAATATACACAGCTAATACCCAGATAAATACTCAAACGCTGCTCGATTTCAAGATGCCGATGCTGATTTTAAGATTTTAAGACAACGTCACTTTGAATGACTTAAAGTGATAGAGACAGTACGAGACTTAACGACATTTTAAACTTGAGTAGGGTTTGAGTCATGGAGTGCAGAGGTGAGAAGAACCATCTCACATTGGAGAATATTTGAAAAAGTGTCTATCTGTAAGCAGTCAATAACAGTTTAAAAACTCCCCACAACAGCGCTAGAGTAGCTAGAGGGTATGAAATGAATTTAATATTTGTGGTGACTAGAGTACTTGATGAAACTGCAGTATTTAAAACCTCAACTACTCACGTTGTCTAAAACAGTTTAATAAATATAACCTAGAAAAAGTCGCTGTAAAACACCTTGAGAGTAATTTTGAAAACAATATAATAATTATTACAAAGAAGAATTATGGTTTGACCATAATTCTTTTTCTGTGCAGTAAAAAGTTATAAAATACGTGTGACACTCGGTGACTGCCGCGGTAAAGCTATTGCATAGCATTTTTTATCAACTTATGCAATTGCAATTATTTATTTTATTTATACAGTTAAGTCTTTGATAATAAATCAAGTTACACTTTTTGAGCGTGGTGACCGATAAGAAAACAATATTTTTATCTCTTATTGAATAAATGAGAAGTTAATATTGTTTAAAATATTTTTAATATCTTACAATACATGTAGGTTATTCAGGAATTTTTATCATTGAGTTAGCAGCTAGTGTACACGCATACGTCTAGTCGCACGCACACAAACACCGTGCCGAACTCTGCCGAGTGCCGAAGTCTGCCGAACTGAAACGACGTTAGACGATGCACGGCTTTCAACGCCACACTTCCGTGCCCGTCGGAGTGGGGAGCGTGAGGTTTTTTTTCGTTACGGAATTTCTGGATTTGGTCCCCGCGCTCAAGGCCCGCGATAGAAGCTATGCAATAGCTTAAAAAGTACTTTACAATTTACCCTCTAGCTTCAGAGGCGCCACCGTTATTTAGCGCTTTCCTACAGATACTTTTGAATACAGAGACGGTTCTCCTTACATCTACACTCCATGGTTTGAGTATTTGGCAATAAGGAAGTATTCTTTTAAACAGACAGTACAAACATGATTGTGCGTACATGGTTAAAATATCTAGAACATTTATCCAAGGCGAAGCTACGGCCAGTAGTTGATAAACACCGCGTTATCAAACCGGAAAGAAGGGCGCGATACTTATTGCAGAGGTCGACAACCGGCGCGGCGCATTGGCCCAGTGCCCGACCTTCCGGCGGCCTTTACTAAAAGCGGTCTG